TAGCTGAATGAGGGGGGAGGGTAGGAACACCTGGATACATCCATCAAGGAAAACATTTGTACATAATCCCACCACTTACCAAGATGTTCCTGTGGTCACTTGATGTAGCTGGATCACTCATAACCTATCTAATTACAAACATAACACAACTGGCCAGCATAAGTTTGTTATAACTAGAAGGGTTACTTAACTGTGGGTGATTTGATACTCCCTTATTCTCCATTCACCGTCTCATTTTCGATGTCCCTGCTACACCGACACGGTTCTCATCCAGCAGGACGAGGTATCCGTTGGTTTTTCCCCGCTTTAAAAGTCGTGACTCAAGTGAGCTTCACTTTCCCACGCCCTCGGAACAACCAGGTCTAACGTGTTCACTTCGGAGCAAAACGACTTATATTCACTTCACGCATTTTCTTAACTTAGCGTATTATACATTAATTACATTAACAATTCACAAGACGATTTTAATGGCTCATAATTATTAAGACACCATAGAGATCACTCCATTTATGATCTGAGACCGATGAGTGAAATTAAACCAGGGTAATTTTCCCCGGGACACAGTCCAGGACGACTCGTCAGTCACCCACGTCCTACCCTTATTTACTCACTTTACCACTCTATTAATACCTTGGTCACGTAAATCACGATCCCTCACTCTCCACCAGAACAGTTACTACACTTCCTATTACGAAATGAGGCCTATATTAATCCTTAGGCTGCCGTGAATGCCAATTTTGTGTTCCATGCTTGCCAGCTTCCTCTCCACTCTTCAAAAGAAACCCGCCACTGTCCCCCGGCACATCCGCGCATGCGCAAAGGGAACTCCTTGGTTTACTCTATTTTCTAAATCATTTTGACTCATAATCGCACAATAAAACACCTATTAGGTGCGATATTTCGGAAAATAAAAATTTTCCAACACTGCAGCCAGGCGGATGAAGACCGTTTTGTTTAGCGACTAAATTGCTCTTCGCTCCAGGAGACGATTCCAGCCCTCTCTAGATTGCGCTGCTGTTTTCCTAGGGGTCTACTACAGTTTCCTTCTTGCATTACCCGGTCAGTGTCTTCAATATCCCTTCGTGTCATCTTTCCCTAGGTTTCCATCTGCACTGGATGAACACCATTTAATTCTAAGGGAATTAATTTATTTAATGGTAACTCAAAGACTTTCCTGACCACGACACAACACTGACGTTTCTGACAACACTTTGTGCATCCTGGGATAATGTAACTACCTTGCCCAGAGGCCACAATGTCGATGTTGTTCAGTAATCAATTAAACACAATGTCACCTGTTGAATGTTCTGTCGGTTTACTGCCTCGCGCAAAACAGTAAGCTGAATAATGGGGAACCGTTGAACCATCCAATACTTCTCACCCAAGAAATCAAGAGTGTCCTACAACAGTTCCCTTGATATAAAAATAGAGCTCAATGAAACAACTTGTCAACTGGAAAATCTCGGGTCCCTAGAGCCTATTCCTCCAAATCGTTTCAAAAAAGCTCACAAAACAGAGGATGACAGAATTAACTAGCTTATTTCCTGCCTTGACTTGACAACTTACAATAAATGAGACCATAACCAATCAATCAACCGTATTCTTTAATGCCTGTACTCTAGTGCCTACCCCATAGATAAAAATACCATGGCTGTTGGTAACCGTCCACTGTGTATGGGCGCATTGAAGTACCTTGGTAGATTCCGAGATGGAGTTTGAATCTTGATTGGAGTCCGAGTGAATCCCTGGCAAAGGAAGGTCGCGCCGCCACTTGAGAAGGTCTTTACTCAAATACCCTGTACAGTAAGTAAATTACCAAACTTGGCTCCTCCTCAGGAAATTAATGAATAAAAAGAAAAATAACAGTCAAATACAGAAGCACTTATAATAATTTTGAAATGAAAATATTAAAAAAATAAATAATGAATAATTGTCCTACTTAAAAGAAGAAATGAAAAATGAAATAATTATTTTATGTTAATTTAATTTTTATTTATTTAAAAAACTTTGAGGCAACACATACCAGAGGTACAAAAAATACAGAATAAGAGCAACACCAGCACAGCATGCCAAAGAAAGCACTTATATACTCTGCATAAGCATTAGCGGGCTGGCTTAAAATTTAACTTAAGATGAACTAAAGCAATGATGACATCAGTGATAAACTTTAATGTAATACATATTACCTAATAAAGCCCACACAAGTGAGTATTACAAAGACAGGTCATATGGTTTGTAAAAATGCATTGTTGTACATTTCAGTAGAATGGAGTATTCTGTTAGGGTAGTGTATTTTAAAAAATAATAAAGTTAGATTGTGGTTTTAGGTTTAACATTTTAATGTGATATAAATGTGAGAAACATTTAAGATAAACCAATTTATAAAGGTTCAGTTATTTCCAGTATTTATTTTGGTTTTGGTGAGTAATGATCTTTGAGAGAGACTTGAATTTATAAAAACAGAGGTAGTGTTTCTTTTATATTTACCGTAATTAGTTCCCCAGATTTTAAAGGGAGAAGGTTAAGAAGGGCCTTGTATGTGTTCATTTGCGTTTTTTTTGCAAAGTGTGAGATTGACACCACGAGGAGAACATCAAAGAGGTGATCTGTGCCTTGTGTTATGGTGTCAATTTGTTCTGTTTGACGGTTGGCAAAAGAGAATGTTTGAGGGGAGGGTTAATATCAGAGTTAAGGTTCTATGTAGGGTAATAAGGGTGCAAGTAAAAAGTTATGAATGTTTTTGTATGTGAATAGGTTTAGGTATTGAATATCGGTGGAGGTGTGCTCTGCCTATGAGTTAGAATTTGTTATCAATCTAAACGCAAAAACAAAAAAAAGCACATTATTCTAAAAATCATTCTAAACTGCACCTGCAAAACAAAACAAAGAACTGCCAAACAAAGCAAACAAACCCCATTGTCCACTTGCATCCAGACCTCCCTTCCCCCACTGCACCCTTGCAAACCTGCACAACCCAATCACCAAGAGCTTGCAGAGACGACTGCAAGCCTTTTTGTTGGGTAATTAGTGTTCTGAGATGGTTACCTTGTTGTTGAGAGAGAGGAGGAAGGGGAGCCCCCCCAAGCACCCCAAACCAACCGGATCATCACTGTAAGCAAAGCCCAAAATACATTTTAAGGTATCCTGTACCCCCCCCGGCATCACATTATTATGGCAATAAAGACAATAAAGGGTTGTCAGGTGAGGTTTTGGGCAGCAAGATAAGCTGTTTAAGAAATTTTCCCCCCAATTCACATTTTGTAACCTGCCTCCACCAAATTTTACATCATCCTCTAAAACAGCCCCAGTTTTTCATTTTTGAGCCTTTCAAAATTTTTTTCCGCCATCATTAATTTAATCCAACCCTGTATTTTTCTTCTTTTACCCTCTGTACCATATTTCAGGGATGGAAAAAATTATATAGTTTTCACTTACTTAAAAAATTTTAAACACTAACCTTTCACACAATCACTTAGGAAGGAAGAATACTATTCATAAAAATGGCTAAGGGGGGGACACTGACGGAGCGGTCTCACCGAATTTCGACGGGAGCAATAGTCCCTTTTTTGCACGGGCCATTTAAATTTTGCCCACCAGCCAACTGGCCCCCTTTAAAAACCACGATAAAGCACTCACAAATTTTTCAAAATAAAGCCTCGAACAAAAAGTCAGCTGGTTTCCTCACCGAATTGTTAAAAGGGTAACAATGCGACCCAAACTTTTATTTTCTCCTGCATTTGTTTGATTTCACGACTCTGTTTTGTCATACAAAATCTTACTTTTTCATTACGAATCCATTGAAAGGGATACCTCTTTAAACAGACCAATTACGGTGCGCTGATATAAATCTCTCGAATTTATTTTTTTATATAAGGGCTAATTTAAACCCCACATAAAGGGCCGTTAATTCCCAACAGGTAAGGTGCGTGATTTTTTGGAGCCCCTGCCTTAGACATAACAAGAAAAAGGGGCACATTACATTGAAGGTAAGCGCTGCTCCATATGCAAATTTTTCGAAGCATCGCAAAAAATGTGGAGTACATTTCTCCTCTTGGGGGCCACATTACTGGGAACTCCAACATTGAAATTTTAAACAATCACCATTATTTTTGGGGATAGAAACACGGGCCTTTATCCTAGCTTTATTGAACATAGAATCTTCATATACTTCTGCAAAAAACAAAATAAAATGACAAACATCTAAAATGGTTCTACAGGAGGGTGAGTCTTGCATAGGTCAAAGAAAATTATAACCGGGCCACATATTTAAACTCACCATGTAACTGCCGCTAAAAAGGATAAAGTAGGAGAGAATCACACACCTGTGTTAGTGCCCATGACACAACCCAAACTGTTGTTGTTTTTAAAGGGGCCCCTAGGGGTGGTGCAGATTATCCTGCTGCGCCCCCAGAGGCCCATACACACAATCTCCCCCTTTAAAAATACAGAGACGTAATCTCCCAAACTTTTGGGTGGGCGACGTACACGCCCCCACCTTCGTACCCTTGAGCCCTCACCGGGTTCGATATTTCCCGGGGTTTGATTAATTAACTGCGGGAAGAAAAAACCTCTATTTCCAAAGGGGGAGCTAAAGGGCTTTCCAGGAAAAAACCAAGCATTTTTTCACATCTATTGGTGAAACTTGAGATTCCACACTAATAGGGATTTCACGGGGGCAAAATGTCTTGTAGATACTGTATCTCTTCCATTTTGACAATGGGGGCGTAATGTGGATAGCTTGCGGGGCCAAACCTCTTCCATAAAGGATCGTTTTGTTCATCCAGGGGTGACTTTTCAGGAGAACGGGTCCAGGATGACATAACCAAGGGGGGCACGGAGGCCCCCTAAGGAACGACGAAAAATTTTGGGGATTTTTTCTGAGGGTTTGATTAGTACTGGGGCACAGCAGGATCAAAGAGTGAAACATCAGGTGGGACAGTTGCCGTGTAAACGGGTAGATTGCCCCTTTTTAATGTCATTGTAACTCCCTTCCATAATACCATTGAACCGTCCACTTGACCATTGCCTTGGGGGTTTGTAGCTTGTTGTTCGCTGCAGGCAATCCCTTTTGCTCCCCAAAAACCCTGAAGTTCGTTACCTTCATGACGAGGATCCCCTGTCGAAGGAAATAAACGGGCATACCAAAAATAGAGAACAACGTGAAGACAACTAATAACAGTTGAAGCACCATTTTTGCACGGGGGAATAAAAAGGGAAAACCCTGAATTTTCATCTACATTTAAGGAAATACCTATTCTGATTTTGTTTGGTAGAGGCCCCTTTGAAATCATATTCATCTTTCGAAAAGGCTGGGTGGATTTTTATAGATAGTCTTCTCGGCTGAGAAAGTTTGGCTTGCACTCTCACAACCTGCATGCTCTGATCACTTGTCGCACACTTCCACGATGGGGCATTTCTTGATTTAAAAAAAAGGACAGGCGTGTAACTCCGGGGTGACACAAAGCCTTTGGGGAGAGCGAAGTGATTGCAAATCATGACATGCTGCTCCACAGGGGGACCTAAGAATCATCAGGGAATGTTCTCTTCCCCGGGTCGGTACAGAATATCAAAGTCATAACACGATAGTTCCATCCTCCAGCATAATATCTTGTAAATTCTTACCCTATTTTTGTGCTTCTGTCGAACATATACATCAGGGCCGTTGGTCACCCTTTAGGTAAAATGCTACCTTTTAAATAAGCTCCAGGGGGCGAACTGTTTTCTATAGGCCTGGGCTTCCTTTTCTCAGCAGCAAAACATTTCTCTGACCTTTTGAAAATTCCGAAAAAAAGGGCTCTGGCGTCCTCCTGAGTAAGACTGCAGCAATGGCAATTCAGATGCATCCTTTTCCACTTCGATGGTAGGGACCACAAGGCTTAATTACTGATTTTAAATGTCCTGTTTGAGAGTATGGAAACGCTTCGGGTTCCCTTTTGTCACGGGAAATGTGGTACACTAAATGGCGCTTTACTTGAATGTTGTAGATCCATTTGAGAAATAAGCAAAGAGACCAAAGTTCTTCGAGGACTTTTGCTTAGGCTTTGGGAATTTCCCCCGTAAGGTCGTAGTCGTTCAGGGGGGGGAAATATTGAACCCCTTCCACACAAAACCCAAAGGGATGCAAGTTTTTTAGTTGAAAAATGCACTTTTCCTCTTTGTCGATATTTTTTCTTTTGGCGCTTCCAAAAACTTATCAAGGTTTCATCATGTTCCCCCTGGTCCTTGCCAAAAAGGGAACTTTATCAAAATACGCGTATTTTCCCAAAGAGTTGCTTTTTTCCGAATGAGTGAATCCATAATTCTTGGAAGCGGCACCCCATTGGTGACTCCAAAAGGGACTCGGGTAAACTAAAACGGCCATCACTAGCCTAAACCGTGTTGGTTTATCTTCATTCTTTATAGGGACTTGATGATGGGCACTCTGCAGTCAATTGTGCTAAACACTAGTACTGAGCAATTTTGTTCACTGTATCGTAAATTCGAGGTAGGGGGTACCCATCAAGAAGTGTAAATTTTTTTTGTCCAGAGAAAATCGATAGCCAGTCCCCTTTTCCTATAACCATTTTTAAAACAAAAACCGTGCCCCAAGGGAACCCCTCGTTCTATAATACCCCCTTCAGCAGCCTCTGAGTTCTTTCTAAAATGAAAAAACCCATCCTCAAAGAATAGCGGCGGATTTAGCGTTTATGGATAAATCCGCGGTAAGATTTGCAAACACTTTGGGGGTCTCCCCTTAAAGTGCTAAGTCCACAGACAACAAGGGGAGGCAGTTCCCTCCATATTTTAAGGGTGCACACCATGCACTTCTGAAATCCTGCCCAAAGGAAAACATCAGAGCACAGTTGGGGCAGAATAGCAAATGTACATCTTGTAACCTTTCCTTTAACCGAGATTTACCTTACAAAACCCAAGGTCTAAAAGAGAGAGATGTTGATCCATGGAAACGGACCTGATATGATGTAGAATAAGAGAGCCGTTTAACTAAGTCAAGGTTGATGAAACTCTCTGACTGCCACTATCAAAAAACCACCCCCCTCTTTTCCTTTGATAAATATTTTCACAACTGCCTTTGACAGTAATTTGGAGTAGCCGCAGAAGTCACTGTTGCAGGGGGCGCATGATCACGGGAATGTGTGGGGGCCACTAGCTCTTTTTGAGCATTAGCACGACTACTTTACAAAGTGCCCTTTTTCTTGGGCATTAGGGCCTTTGCTTCACGACGGACACTTTGGACGTGATGTCAAAAAAACCACAAAAAAACACACCGTACCTGCTGCTGGTCACGAGGCAGGTTCCCCCTAACTTCATTGCAAAGTCTTGGGTCGGAAATTCAGCACTTACCCCGAAAGGTGATGGTACTGTATACTTCAAAATTTTTCGGGCTGAATCTAGAGCCTTGCCTGGTAAAAGGGCAGCGGCTAAGTCGAGAGTTTTTTTCTCCAATAAACGCGCCTTATTTTTGGTGATTGCGGCCCACTGATAAAAAGCACCCCCAAGGAATTTTCACAATACTGGGGGACTGTCACTGCTTGGAATAAACAGTCCTTCCCAAAATTTTTTCAGTGCTTGAAAGTATTCCCAAAGGGACTCACAACTGCTGGCGGCGATTTTTAAAAGGCAAGCGTGCAAAGATTTCTTTTGTGGGTTTAATTTACTGAACTTGAGGGTTTTTGATTGCATCTTTGTAGGGATTACACTCAAAATACCCATATATCTTAGTGACACAAAAATTTATAGCAACTTATTTAATCTAGATTTCTTTAGGTGGGTCCCAAAAGTTTTTGAAAGTCTTAAACCATGCTTCCATTCCGAGCGGGCCCTTTAAAACTGGGGGCCCCAGTCTACCCTCGGTTTCAGTAAACGCTCCTGTTTAGTAGTCTACCAGACACCACCAGGTACCCAGGGTTCTAGTTCAATAAATTGTTGTGATAGAAAAAACAGGCCTTTTCTCTAGGGTTTATTGAAAATAGAATCTTCATAATTTCTGCAAAAACAAAAAAATGACTATACATCTAATAATGGCTTCTACAGGGGTGGGATGTCTTTCATATGTCAAAAAAAAAATTATCACAGGCCACATATTTTAAACTCACCATGTAACTGCATCGCGATAAAGGTAAAGTAGGAGAGAATACACACCCTTGTTAGTGCCCATGACACACACCAAACGTTTTGTTGTTAAAAAGGGCCCCTAGAGGGGGTGCATATTACCTGCTGCTGCTCCCCACAGGACCATTCCCCCTAATAGTCTTCCCCCCTTTTCCCAAAACACGCAAGGGGGCCCAAAAAATTTAAATTCGAACTGAACTCCCTATGGTGATAGAGTAACCAATACAAGGTCACTGATCCCCCTATAAATTGATTTCTGATGGGGTTTTTTTTCGAGCAATTGCTAATCTCCGAATCCGAAAATATTTGGTGCGCCCACAAAGGGATTAAAAAATTTTTTTTTGCAAACTTGCAATTTTTTAATAAAAAACACCCAAAAAAATTTTTTTTAAAATTTTAAAAAAAACAACCATAAAAAAAACAAAAGGGGAAATTTTATCAAAACATTTTTTAATTTTTACAAAAATATAAAAAAGAAGCAAATATCAACAATGCCCAAATTGCAAAGTGATGCAATTTTTAATCCCATATTTCCCGAGATTCATTTGGAAACCAAAAGATTCTATATTTCTAAAGGAAAAAGGAAGTCTGAAAACAATTTCTACAGTCTTTTTGCACAGATTTACTTTGGGGATACACTACAAAATTCTCATGGACTCTTCCTCATCTGGGTTTCCTCAAAACCTAAAAATTCCTTTTTCCCCATTACTTTTTGCTTTTTTGGGTGCCTTTCTTCCCTTTTTTTCCTCCTCATCATCACTTGACACTCTGCATCCTTCATCCCGTGGGAATATTCATCACCACTATCCAGCAATTCTGGGTTTGTCTACCCCTGGTTCCGAGTCACTGTTTCAGAAAAGCAGACTACCTCGACCTGCTGGGCGCTGCCCCCATAAAACCCGCCTTCAGAAAGGAAACAATAAAACCTCCTGATAAATCCAGACCACACAGAGTTCAATATGAAATTTAAAATTTTTATAAAAATTTATTTTTACTAAAATTGGAAAATTCCCCCAAAATTGCGCAAGACCGAAATAATTTTTGGCTAAAAGCTTGCATTTTTTTCAACTGCTGCTACACTCATTTATGCTTTCACACGGCTTTAGGTTAAATCAAAATATGCCTAAAATTTCATTAACACTAAACCAACAATCAGTCTTCCGACATTTTGAATTATAAACCAAGAGTAGATTAGTAAGGGTGGGGGGAAAAAAAGCTGGAGGGGAAGCCAAGCCACCAGTGTTTTTATTTTGAAACTCTCAACCAAAGGGAAGGCGGGGAAACGAACTGTACTTAGCTAAAAGACTCAGGGGAAAGGGTTGTGATTGGTTGGAACTAAAGAACGGAAGCTGGCCAGCGGCACGGAGTATACACGCCCCCCCAAAAAACTAATTAAGACCGAATTTTTTTTGCCCGGCGACAAAGGGTTACATTTAAGGAAAACGACTGCTCCTATCTAATTTCGAAGCTCACAAAAAAATTGTGGAGTACTTTCTCCACTTGGCTGGCCCCATTACTGGGGAAACCCAAAATGGTAATTTTACATATTCACCTATTAGTTCTTCCCACCTTTCAAAAAATTCCCCCAGATAGGGTGTCACCCAACACACTTAATCTCCATGCTTCTTTATCAACAATTTTCCTCTATGGTAAGTGGGGACACAAAACCCATGGGTCGAAGCGTTTTGAAACTTCTGCAAGCAAAAATCTCTTGGTTAATTTTTTGGGCATGCGTAGTTATTTGACTTTAACGATAACAAGTCCCCCTGTTCCCAAGTCAGTCCCAGCACAAATATTTGACACTTCAACTCCAGGGGTTTTCTTTATTTATTTGAACCCTTAAACTGGGGAATTTCTGTTCCATTCCCTCAGGGGGGAATTTTCCCTTGCATAATTATATTAGCCCCTGCTACATGCCAATTTTGTTCCCCTCAGTAGACGTCATCCCCAGGGAAAATTGCCCATAAAATTGTTTACCCATTACTCTACCGGGACCACCCGTATGCT